AAAGTAACGAAGAGTTAGGTTGATAACCCAAAAGTTCCAGCATAGGAATTAGCTGGAAAAGGGAGCAACAATAAGATTATCTTTAGGCAACAACTTTTTGGCAGCCAACGAAGGTCTCATAAGCCCTTCTAATAGAAATCTTTCACAATTTATTCGGCAGCAAAGGATGTAATTTGAACATGAAAACTTTGTGCAAATAAATGGACTACATTTTTATGGGGGAGACGAAAATAAAAATATTTTTACAGAGCTGCATCTGCAATTGTAGGAAATAAATCGATGCCTTCAAATTGAATAGGAAAATACAGAAATGGTTACGGCTAACTCGATGTTCCGGGCAAAAATCGAACAAAAGAAAAACACAGTGAGTGCCGAACGGAATGAACTACCGGCCACTACCCTCAAATAAATATGTTTAACCAAATTGCTAACCAACAACAGCCCCCTTGGACGGAAAAAAGGACGAGTCAGGCGTAACATATTTATTGACATTGCGGTTGCCGGACCCAGAACTCTGGAAGGAGAACCAGAAACCCGAACCCAAGCCCAAACCTGTATCCGGACACACATTGGATTTCAGTTAGCAGTTAGCAGTTAGCTGCCAAGCAACCACCACCACTAACCACTGACACCAGGGCCACAATCCCCACGATACCTCGGGTTCCCCAACCCCCAACCCCCAGCTGCCCGGAACCCGGAACCCCGATCCCCAGAAACCACCGAATGAGTGGCACTTGCAAGTGTGGTGTTTATGTTCCATACATCAAGGGTTTATGGGCTAAACGTTTATGTGTCTGGCAACAACAAGCTTTTAAAGGGTTTCCATACACTCGCCCTCACATATACAGCAGAACTTCTTTAGCCCGAACTGTTGTGCCTCTTGCAATTGTAACTTCATTAACTTAAGTTTTTCAAATGTCTATAACTCGTACATCACAAAAAAACTTCACTAAAACTAACTTTTATACTCCACTCTTTAAAATTTGTACTTTCAAAAATCATTCCACAATGATTATAACTTTATCAATTGAATTTCTATATTAAAATATAGATTGGTATATGTTTGTGGTCAACAGAAGTTATAGTCGGATGAAAAAAAAACGAACTTCCAACCCCAATTTGTATTCTTTGTTAATTCAAATTTATTTAAACCGAACCAATATTACAATCCTAATTAAAACTTTCAATGCAGAGGCTAAAAATTAATAAGGCATTCAAGAAACTTTATTCAAAGTTTAATGCTCTAATTAAAGTCTGTCTTTTGAATTCATAACTCCAAAAACTCTCAGTAACTCAATTTAGAAAAGGAATTGAGTTATGGAGGTTCCACTGTAGCCACAAGCACATGTGGAGGGTGGCGCACTAAGAGTCAATGCCGAAGTTTGCCTTGGTAGCGCCACTTGAAATTTCACTTACACCCACATGAAATGCCTTTTTGTGCGTCTGTGTGTGTGCGAGTTGACGTTGCACACTTCGTTGACTCCCAAAAGACGCCCACACTCAAACGGTTGACCTCAGACGTCCGCCCAAACCCTCGATAAAGGAGGGGGGCGATCGGGTGGTGGGCTAACGTATTACAAAATGTATTTTATCTTCATCGATTGGCAGAATTTATATGTTTTTTCATGCCACATCAGCGCTTTATGTGTGCACATGGAAGGAGAAGGAACGGCTGGGGGGAGGGGGTCGAAAGCGAAGGGGAATTCCTTGTAAGTGAGTTGAGGCTATGTGCTGACAGCCACGAGCACCACCATATGCATATCTCTTCGCTGTGGGTGTGTGGGATAAATCAGCTGCTGCTAACAGATGATGATGATTACAAAGGGATGAAGTTGTAAGACTGCGATACCAACAAAGATGTAAAGCGTGTTGCTCGGAATGGAATATGTTATGTCGAAATGGGCACGACAATAAACCGTTTTAACATGCGAATCAATTGGCGGAATTTGTAACATTTGAAGGCGTGGTTGTGAAAATTGTACTCAACAATTTCTGTCAAAGGAGAATGATTATTATTTGCAGGTAAATCGGGAGGGGCACTATATTTTTTTTTTTAAATCATTTCAAAATTGAAACTCTTCCTCGTTAAGTACCTTTTTAGATTTTATTCAAAAATGTATTAATAAATCCAAAGTTTACTACCTTAAAACCTTTACTACACATTTGACTAACAAATTTAGTTTTCGAGTTCGCCAAATTTCGACGGAATTCGGAAACGGAAAAACACCCACCGTTTATTGAATATTCACGAGTAAAGAAAATCACCATAATCTACGGCTAGAAGTCAATTTTGTTTTGCATAATTCTCCTTGAATGTACATCATACACACAACACTCCACATTCTTCGGCATGAAACTCCTCTGTCTGCAATCATGTTTGCCAATTATGCAAATGACGATGCGACCCACTGTGCGTGCAGATGGAACCACTGTGGGCCGCAACCGAGTAAATACTCTCCAAACACTTGGCTTCGTGTTTACCACAATTTACTGCGACTCGAGTCAGCCAAGCTCTAGCAAGAATAAATGCAATGCACATTTTTTGCCCACAATTTCCTGGAAGTTCCGAAAGGGGGGGTTTTGTGAAAGCGGGTCGAGCACAATAAACTAAAAAGGCGATGGAGGGGGGGTCGAGTGGCGGGGGTTAGGTCGTAGCTTGCCACAAGCCAAATATGTCTGTGTCTGGGCCTGGTTTTCAACCCCCTACCCCCTACGCCTACCCCCTCCACCAAACCTACACCCCTGCCCGAACTCGCTGTCTCGTTCACACTTTTCTTTCAGTCTCGTCCTGGCATTCGTGTCTGGAAAGTGTGGCAATAAAAAGGATAATGTAACTGTTATTCTACGCAAAACGGAAACAAAGGAGGGGGGGTGGTGGTTTGGGGTGGTGAGTGCTTGAAATATTTTTGTGGCAAAGGTGGCAACTTGGGCAACAACAAGATGTGGCAAAAGTAAAAAGCACAACCAAGGCGGCAAAAACAGAATTGTGGTTGTGGAGGGGTTGGAGATTGGGTCCCTGCTGAGTGACTGACTGAACAAGTGGCAACGAGGAAACGGCTGTCAGTCAAAAGAGGGGAAAGTGGTTGGGGTTTCCTTGCGGGGTGGTGGTGGTGGGTGGGTGGAAAACCCAACTTGGTGGTGCAAAAAACCATGCCGAGAGCGAACGAAACGAAAAGAGACGAAACGTAACGAAACGAAACGAAACGAGACGAGCCAAAGTGCCAAAGAGCGAAGCCGGAAAATTGTGTGGAAATTTGAGCTTCTTTTGAAATTGAGGCCGGAAATGACACCCACACAGCCCACTGTGCAGAGTGAGATAGCCATAGGCGGTGCAAGCGGGACAGAAAGAGATAGGGAGAGGGAGTCACAACGACGACGACTGTTGTTGTGTTAAACAAAATGTTTGCGGGTGCAATAAGCGTAAATTCAGTGGTTTTATGTTTACTTATTCAACTACTCAACCACCCAACCCCATGGAGCATAACTTCATTTTATTGGCAGCAACGGGGGGATGGGGGTTGGGTTTTCCCCCTCTTTCCGGGTGGTAATATACTTTTTGCAAATCGATGCCAACTCCTTAAACGGTGGGTGGTGGGGTCTCGGATCCCCGGGGGAACTGGGTACAGTGGGTGTACACGGGACAGGAAGCGTGTGGCATGTTGAATGGTCTTGAGTGTTTTCGTATGGTTGACAGGATAACACGGAGTAATTCAATTCGAAATACTTTATGCTGTTGCTTTTATTATTTGTGCTTGCTCGGTCGGTCGTTCGTTCTCGTTCTCCTTTCGTTTGGGGATTTCTTTTGTCGGAAGTGGCATTTGTAGGTGGTTTTGAATGGGTGGTTCGTTCGATGGGTGGTTCTGGGTGGGCTGCATAAAAATTCGTGTGGAAAGTTATACACACACCCATATACAGAGACCGTCTGTGTGCTTGTGGTTTCTCTTGTTTATTTATTTTTATGATGTTTCCTTTTTGGCATTTTATTGAAGAAGTTTACCGACGCCATTGCTGCTGCATAAATAAGCAAGAAAAGAGGGCGAAAGCACTCACCGCCACCCCCAGCCCCATTGCAATTCATAAAAAATCAATATTTATTACAACAGCTAGTACATGGAACCCTCCTTGTGGTCTCAGCTTGTTATTGGGCATTTAATCAGTTGATTTCTTATTCAGGTTGAAGTTTTTCCTCTGCATTCGTATTGGGTAAATGCAATTAGAGAAGCTTGTGCTGAGATTTATCCGAGTGCATGGTGGGTATTCATGTGGGATTAAGCACACTTGAGTGCCAGGGGCGAAACATGATATAAACCGAAAAAATTAAATTTGGGGAAACGACAAATGCGTATTTCTACTCCTTAAATTGAATCCCAAAACGCTAGACACTTGGTATGATTCAACAATATGATTATAAATATAAGAGACATATATTTTACGATTAAAAAGAAAAATTTGTTTCTTCGAAAAACAGCGAACACTGACCTTTTTAGGAAATATTAGGTTAACTCCCAACCCGAATCTGTAAAATCTAATGTCCTCTCTTTTTTTCATACAAAATGCTTTGTTCAGGTTACTCTCGAACCTGGAAGTTTTAACATCTTGCCACAGCATCGTATTAAACCCACTTTGCATTTGCAGAATACTGTGAAATCCGTTTAAAAACAAATACACGGACTACGAACAGATTCCTAACAAATGCTCAACTCTTTCTGTGGCAAAATGCAAAATAATCTTCCAACCAAGACATACTTCTGCCCCCAAACCAGTGAACAATGATTCGCTTTGAAAAGCTAAACGAGCCGAGCTAAGGCTATTATTGAACTGTCCGAGCAAAGCGGGCAACGCCGAACACTCAAAGTTAAGTGAAACCAATTGAAATTTATTGACGCGAATTGGGTTTCACTTGAACCCGCTAACCTCGGGGCGCTGGCTTGGCGTTTCGCATTACCAGAAGTCGGGGCGAAATCAGATCGGCTTCCCCCGCCGAAAGGCGAGTCACTTACCTTCTTTCGACTTGTCGTACTGCTTCGGCGACGAGGTCTTCTTCCCTGGCACGGGTCTCAAGGCACTGCTGATGAGCTGGGGGCGAGAATTGGCACATGGACACGGGTCAGATTGCATTGCCCAGCTACTGGAACGGCAATAAATACTCACAATGCGATCGGAGCGCTCGCCGCAGGGCAAACGGGCCACAGCGGACTCGGGACTGTCCTCCGGCGGAGGCGGTTGGGGCACCCAGTTGTAGGCCCGCCTGGAAATGGGCACCCCAAAGCGATCGTGCTGCGAGGCTTGTTGTCTAAACAAAATAAAAAGGTTCTATTAGTAAAATCAATATCTCAAAGACAGGTGGGATGGGATTTCACTTTCATGCGCACATGATGTTTTTCACAACTTTCTTATTGTGCTAATCATCCTAAAGCAATGACCTTATTATCAGTGATGCAAACCAGTTCTCATCCAAAAAGAACTGCTATTAACATGAAATACAAAACGGAACAACTACACCTTAACAATATTCTTAGCAAACTAAAATGTATTAAAGTTAAAAACTAAATGCAATAAACCAGAAATTCCAATTTAATTTTGTGGAAAAGAAATGTATATGATTTAATTTATCTGGAAATAAGTAAAACTTTTGTATATCTTTATATTATATTCATATCGTATGACTGATCGTGACCAACGAAAATATTTAAATCAGAAAGGTATTCCATTTCTGTAGTATTAGACTCTTATTTTAGATGTTAGACGGGGGCAGAAAAATTTATTTTTATCGAATTCCAACAGAACTATAATCTAATGTTCTAAAATTTTTGCATTTTATCAAGATGTAGGAAGCCAAAGCTATTGAAGAAATTAAAATAAAAATTGTTTCACTAAACATCTAACATTACGCTACGATAGACCTGGTTGGGCAATTTTTAAACGTACGTTAAGGAAATGTACGAGAATTTCTTTAGCCAACCCAAAAAACATATCTTTTAGGAAATACAAATCAATTTTACAGAATTACATTTTTTAAAAAGAACTTCTATTAGTTGCTACTAAATCTATCTTAAGATTAATAAAATAAAAAATCTTCTGGTTCGATTTAAACCTTGAAGTGTTAACATGTATCTAGGATAAATATATGATATTCTGAAAAAAAAATGCCGGATCACTATTCTAGGGTTAGCTTCACACCTTAAACTCTCGTAGCAGTCCAGACAGACGACCGCGTATTCTCCGTTCTCTAGCAGTAGGCCATCGTCACTTTTCTGGTGCTTCACAAAGGGAAACTCGTTGACGGGCAGCGCCCGTACTCTCTTCCGGTAAGTCGTAATGCCGCACAGGTGACAGTTGTAGTCGTGCCAATTATATTTACGATCCGCTGGATTCACGCTGGGACTTTGTGCCTCATATCTGCAGGACGGGGAAAACCCATTAATGACTATTTGTACATCTGATATTTAAGGCAGTTTACTTACTTGCGCCACTGATTCAACATGGAATGATAACAAAAGGTGCAAACCAGGGCCGAGTTATTCCTTAACTGCTCAGCATTGGGGAGTGAATTGTGTTTCAGCAACAATGGAAAATAAGGACGCGAACCCTGAATATATACAGAAAAGAAATTATGTTACAAAAGCTCTTTAAAACAAAACTAGTAAATTGGATACAGACACAAACACTGATTATACGTTAAAGTAATGGAAATATTAAAATCAAACATGACAAATTTCAGTTTGTTAGTTTTATCATCTAAGCATTACAGTAAAATAACGCCCTACATTTTTTATCGCTTTTATAATACAGTAAATACAGATTCCAAAATAAAACAGAGAACACATAAAAAACCTTATAATATAAAGGATTTTGGTGTTATCTCTTCCGTAATATACTTGTGATTGCCAAAGAAGTAAACAAAATTATATTTCATTACTTAATTAAACGGGCTCATTTGTTAATTAATGCACCACATAACAGAGATAATATTATTTGCCATCTACACTGAGTGTAATCCAATGCGAACGCTATCTAAAACAATCTGCACACATATCGTGTAACAATGTATTTACTCAGAACTGGGTATCTATATTGATTGACTGCGATTGTGTCTTCATTGAGCAACAGGAAAATACCTTAACTAATCAGCAAATTACATGTTTGGCAAGCGATCAGAAATATTATGCACACACAAACGCATTTATACAATGTGGCCCAAATTAAGTGAAGGTCTAACGAGTTGAGCCGAAACACAAATTAATCTCTTAATACCCAAGTCGATGTCATACTAAAGCCTAACTGTGATTGATTAAAGCTTGAAAATTGTATCTGATGTGTAATTTATGTGTATAATGAGAGCTTCTGATATTATTAGTTCAGCTTGAGTGCTTCTCGACATATTTCATAGTTTTCAGCTCTTGGACAAACGTGACTGTAAAATAAGTATGGAGTTTAATTTGTTATAGCAGTCTTCTTGATTAGTCTAATGCATTTAGTTTTGAGTTTTTCTTTAATTCACAATTGGCTTTACTGCTTTTAATTTGAAGTGGAAATTTAAATATTTCTTCAAAATTATCTAAATGTTCGTCTAAATTTAATTTACATGAATATCCTATAAAGCTACATTATACTGTATATAGTTTAATACTTAACAACATCTGTCAGCACAACATGTTTAACGACATGTTGGCGCCTTATTTGCGTGAGTGAATTGCATAGTACATATTGTCATTTAATGTGTAAAAACCGCTGTAGCATACTATGCATGTGTCGGCAGAGTTCCGGCAAAACACTTTCCCATGCCCGCGAGATTGAAACGTGCCTATCGCTGTATTACAACAACGAACCATCGCTGTTTTTCCTAATTAATAATTTTGATACCACATTGGATATGTGCATTGCTCTGTTGGCAACCTTCCTAACTAATTTGGTGACTCTACCTCTTTGCTGGCATAGAGAACTCTGGCTAACGTTAGGTCCGAGTGCAGGCCACAGAGATAGCAGTAGATGGATGTGCTGGCAGGCGTCGAGGATGATATGGATGGCGTGGAGGGCGGAGTGTTTATGCTCATGGCGCCGTGCCGAGATCCGTTTGGTGAGCTGGAGGTCAGCATGGGCGAGGGAATGTTGTATCTGAAAGATAAGACCACAAATTAGACACGTTTAAGGTAATGCATGGAATTCTAAATGAAGAACCTTCTGTGCTCGAGGGGAACCCGTTCCGCATCCATGGACTCCCACTGGCTGGCCAAGTAATCCTTGCAGTCCTTGCAGGCCAGCACGCGATTGCTGTTTAGCTCGTTGTTGTTATTATTATTGTTGTTATTGGTATTATTGTTATTGTTATTATTACTGGTAACAGCATTGGCCTTGAGACAGGGGAAGTGCATGGCATGGGAGTTCATGTGCTCGGCACTTGTGGACAGCCAATCCATTTTGTTCGACGGGCAGAGCACTTTGCAAATGGAGCAACTGCAAGATGAAAATGTTAGCTTTAGATACAAGTACTGACAGGCTGCCATAGCCGGATAATTCACTTACGGATACTGCCCGTGCCCATTCTCGATGGCTCCTTGGCTGGAACTCGGCGAATTTGGGCGCGAATCGCTGCGACGAATTTGTTTGAGGTCGCGTGCCGTGTTTGAGTTGGAATTGTTCGAGTTCGTCTCGTAGGGCTATCAATAATATAATGAAAATGAAATCATTCAGATTGTATAAGCTATTTGTGTATTATTGCTAAGAATATCACGCACACGCCGCCTCCAGAGAATGCCTACTGATTCGGCGATCCCCAAAGACTAACTTCGAAGCAATCTTATCAGCAAAGCAAACAAATCGAAAAATAAAGTCCACCAAATTTTATTAAATATTTTATACAATTGATTTGCTATTCAAGGAGTAGGCACTCGACTATGACTGGCGTTCGACTGGGTTTGCTTTCGGCATTTGCCGTAAAACCGATTCCATCCGGTTCGAACCGTGTGCGGTTCACTTATCTCCCTTCGTTTTGCGACTTATATTTCGAGGGCGAGAGCGAATGCCTCTCCAAAACCATAAGCTCCTTATCGCGGTCCGTTTAGGACTAATTAGATGGTTTGGGGTTACGAAAGCTGATATCAATCATGGCTGGAGTTCAAAGTTAAGCACAGCTGTTTTTTTGATTTATTTGTTCACTCCTTTCCATCATGACTTCAGATAATTTTTGTTGATGTATGTCAACACTGTCTATATTTGAATATAATTTGATTTTCAAGGGTCATTTAAGTCAAATGGGAAACTCTCTTCTTTTTTTAAAATTGTAATCTCATGGTGATAATGAGTAGAACGGCAAACAAAGAAGCTAAGAAGGAGGTTATATCTATTTGTCAGATCTGATTGAATGATTTTACTGCCTACAAATTGATTGAAATTATTACAAAACTATCTGCACTCTCAGTATTTATCAGCATTTAGTATTATTTACCACTCAAGAAAGTTGAATGACTTGGCTCAGTGCGAGTGCAGGTGTTTGCTTAATACATTTACAACCTTTTTTGTTGTGTTATCTGGGGGAAGGACGGGAATGATAGTCACTAGATATGGATCCCACTCAGAGCATGTGTTGCCAAGCCAAACATTTGCAATTCAAAGCCCTGGGACCGTAATGCAAATAGTCGAGAGCGACATGAAAATGAAAACAGGAATCAACAAATAAGACAATGCAAATGTAAACAATTCGGAAAGAATTGTTTAAATATTGAGTTACTGTTGTTGTTATTGTCGTTGGCGTATTGATAAATATTTGCATTTATCTATATTTAATTTCGTATTTTGTGCTTCAGTTTACTGTTTCTTTATGCAAGAAAACGAGTTTCGAAAACGCTGCCCGATTGTGCAATGACCTGAATAAGCCCAGAATACACGCAAGTTGTTATATACGCACGTTGTATTCATATCCACAGATATAGAAATTAGAGCAAATGCTGGGCACCTGTTCAAAGATAAATTATTGTTGAAATTTCGCCTTTTTTTCGACCCACACGCTTAGCAAACAGATGACTTCTGTTTAATCAAAGCTAACAAAAATGTCAAACAGTTTAAACTACTAAAAACGAAATATTTCGCAATTATTTTAAAACCAAGAAAATAATTCGAGCAATATAATTGTATTCAAGTCAATCAACTCTGTCAAGGCTGCGGATCATGCATGAGTTACCCCCCAAAAAATGTATAATTTAAGCTGTAGTAGAATTTGACACAGTGCTGTTTAACCAATATAAATAAAGCCCAAAGGCCACACAGGAAACAATCTAACAAAACTAAAACCAGCAAAACGAAACAGTAAATCAACAAAAAACAGAAAGAGAAAACACTTTAAGACAAATTAAGCTATACAAATAGTCAACAAACATTGGCAGATTAAACAAAAGTATTTACTATATACAAATGAATAAAATAAACATAAATCTAAGCATATTCGTATGCGAATATAAAGAGTAAACTGAGAGGATGGTAATAATTTATGAGCTAGGCGACGACAAGTCTTTCAATTGTCTCGGGCAAGACGCTCAAAGATTTCAAATTAGAAATTAAGGAAAAAAGAATGCCAAAACCAAACTAAAAACAAAACAAACAAAACTAAGACGCTGGGACAAGAGCAACAAGAACCACAGCCGGCTATAAATAAAAAGCGTTTAAGTAGAATTAAGCAAAAAGCAGACAAGTAAACCGGTTCAAAGCAGATGCCTTAAACTGACAGAAAAAACCGACTCTGACTCGACCAAGTTTACCCAGTTTTTTATTGCCCCCGCATGTGTGTTGTCTTGTTTATACGATAATTTCATTTCGGTTCCCTCCTCATTCACTACTCTTGCTACACTTGCTCTATATTTATTTGCTCTTCCCCCGAGAGGAGAACATGTGGAGTTGCCGTGGGTTCCGGCTATCTAATCTCGACATTTGTTGACTCAAATTGGTTAACATGCTGGCGATCGAATTTACTCTAGCACTCTGGCTGTATTAAGCAGGCAACTCCCACTCCCAAGGCTGATTGGCTGGCTCTATCCCACTCTTTCTTCAAAGGCCGTCTGGTTGCTAATGAATTACTCAACAATTTCAGGTCGTGAACCATCCACTGCCATCTATCTGCCGACTATAGGCCCACTCCCAGACGCCTGCCACTTTAATGGGGCCCGGTTCAGTTGGGTTATCGGTTTCCCGAGGCGGGGGCAAGTGAGTGCGGCTAATCGCTGGAAATGTGAGCAATGTTATCGCTACTTCGAGTGCCACTGCTACTGACCCAGGCGATCCCATCCGATCCGATCCTCTCAGTCTCCCACCAGTTGCTGTAATAAGTGCAATCATTGTTTTTCCTATATTTGTACACCATAACTATTATCTCCCGCGTACTCTCGAGTAAATTTCCATGTTTGCGTACTTGGTTGATACTCAGTGAATACACTCACATACATAATGGATTATTTATGATGCAGGCAAATGAGAATCTCGTTCGAGTACACCTCACAAATTGTTATTGACAATCGATTCATTCAACTGCGTCATCTATGAAATAACCGATTTCTTCAACACAAACTGGCAAGATTAGGTTTTATGAAAAAGGCATTTCCCATCATAACCGATACAAACGGGTTTTAGTCAGTAGCATACTTAAGATACAATTCTTTTTTATAGATTTTCGTTAACAGTCATGTCGCAAAATATGACAAATGGCTCCGGTTGAAGACAGTTTTCTTAAGAAAAATCAAGACTTCTTTTTAGGGTACAACATTTTCTTGAAGCAGAATCTAAATGGTTATTTATTCTAATCACCACTTTCTGGCGAGCGCCAGTTTACTTAAATTTTTTCTGGCATTAAATATTTTTAAGGAGAATCAAGTGTGTCACAACTGTAAGCTAGATTTTATATATATATGTATATATTTCTATTTATACAAATACATTTTTTTCTTCTGAACCTCTAAACCCAAAAGGGTTTCTGTAGATTCTTGGTTCAACCTATACAAACAAATTGGAAGCGGATTGCTACATGAAGCACATTCCTAAACCAGGGAATTTCACAAATTCTTTTTTCCCTAAGAGACCTATTCAAACATCCAGTTATCGGAGACTCTCTTACCCTAAACCGCACATTACTCGTAGAGTCCGAATTGGCCAGGGACTTCTCCGATGGAGAGTTACGACCCCCAAACTGGACCCCACTGTTTCCGGCTATCGCTCCGCCGGCACTGTACATGGCCGAGTTCGATTCCAGCGAGTGTCCCGCACTTGGAGAAGCTCCACCCACAGCGGAGTGGGTGCTGGATGCGGCTGGAGGTGGACCACCCTCCGCCAAGCCGGTGTGCTTCTCATTGCACGTGGAACAGACCTGAACCATGCCTGAATGTCGGGAGATAATTGCGTTAGTTAAGGTGAGCAAACGTGTACTTAGCGCACTTACCTTGCGGACTAATTGGACTAGCGTTTTTGTAGACTTTCATGGTCTTGATGAACGGATAATAGGGTTCCCTTTCGGCATTTGGACAGCAGTAGACAAGGCGCAGTTGCGAAGAGGGCGTATCCGTTCCACAGGTGTAGCAAACGAAAGTGGTTCTTTCGGCCACGGGCGTCGAGCGTTTTCGCAGCTGATAGGATCGCTCCAATTCTGGTTTATGGGTTGCCTACAAAAATATTTGAAATAAATGCCATTAGTCATTAGTTTTTGCCAATTCAAAATGACTAGTCCGGAAATTTGCAGATTTATTTAGCACATTTATATAAGAAATCTCATCAAAAGGTGTGAAATGTACAAACATGGTTCTATTTAAAATCGATTAACAAAGATGAGATTTTTAGCAAACAACTGTTAAGTCGTATTCGCAATAATGACCTCTACGCCATGTGAAAAAATACAATGAACCAAAGATTAACAATCCAGCTTAATGTAAAAATCCAAAAATAGAAATCATACATTTACTTTTCCAACAAGTGCGAAGCTTTAATTGGCTAAAGCTAAATATTTTGATTGAATTTCAGTTTCTACTTGAAGATCGCAAGCCGGCTTTGATGTTTACAATTGTTCAAGATGCTGACATAGAAATGACATTGATAAATTACATTTATGTTTGTAGATAGATAGACACGCATGAATAAAACATTTAGTGATGCAACCATTACACAAACAAAATTTGTGCAGTAAGCTAAAGAACTTGTTCGTTGCATTTTTAAGATTAACAATGCAGCTCTGGTTAAAAACATTACTAAAATATTTGTTTATTTAAAAATGAACATCGCATAATTAAAAGTAAACTTTAAATTTCGTTAACTCTAAACAAGAGTTCTTCTTTAAAATTTAGTACATTCCACACTGCATATCGCACCTGCAAACAATAATTTTCCGCTTCCTCGCTGTCATAAACAGGCGTACGTTACGTATACGACCTGTCAAACCCCTACACCAAACCCACAAACCCTAGGGAACCCGTAACCAGACGTCATCTGTGTTTATACAAATTAATATACGCACGTGGAAACACCCTCACGCAACACTGGAACGCCCCAAAAAAATATATAACAGCTCGTCAACAAGAATGACAAGTGGCATAATATGTATACGACAAAGCAGGTTGTCTCATTTTATTTGAATATTTTCATGTATTTTTTGATGGGGCTTGCTGGTCTTTTATAGCGACCGCCGGAATTTAAGTATCTATGCATCTTCATCGCCCTTGTATCTGGGCAGCCGTCCACTCAGATTAGAAATCCAGGGGCGAGACGGGGCACATACATTCGTTTATTTTATTAGGCACTAAGTAAATTTAATTGTTTGTTTACTTTCCGTATTTCATTGTGTCAGATTTTCTGACATTGATAGGCGCGCATTTTGATTGCACAACGGACAACTGGCGGCATGGGTAACTTTCAGATACAAAAGTATCCATACCTACGGGGAGTATTTATGCGCGAGTGTTTCTGTTTCTGTTTCTGTGTCTGTTCTGTTTCCATTTTGTTTGTTTGCTTTGTCATGCGGCTCGCACACACATCACATCAATCTGGACAGTGCCATGTCATCTATATTTATTGATCCAGTGGCTCGGTGGCGTCTCCACCTTCTGTTCCCCGCCCCTCCCCCTGTTACGCCCACTTACAAGCCGAGGTCTGACAGTTGGCTTTATGGAAGAACAAGTTCGTCATATTTTTTTATAGATGTTCTTTTCTGCCGTTCATTTTTTATGTTCGCTTTTCATGCTCTCTCGTTGACTTTATTTCCCTCAACTTCCAAACCCCCCTCCCCACCCCCAAAATAAAAACACTCTTTTAGACCTCATTCTCGTTTGTTTGTTTGTGCTTTTCATGCTGCTGATAAGCATTTCGAATATGGGGGTCATGACCGTTTAATAACTTTTTATGGCAACTTTTTTCTGTTCTTTGAAAACTTTTGTTGCGTTTGTTCTGTTAATTATAAAACAAAGTGGGAGGAAATCTGGGATTGCGTTAAAACCACATTTTGTTTAACGCAAAGTTGTTTACAACTTTTAAGTAGATATAAATAAGTATTCCAGGCAGTAACTTTTATTAATTAATGGTACTTTTTCTCTTCCTAGGGATTATAAAATACTCAGAATCGTGTCAGCTCACTTCTTTATCTCTAGGTTTTATTATTAATTGTTTGTTTGGTCTATAATTTGGGTCAATATTGATTGATTGCTTGGGGATATTTAATACCTCGAAGAACGCTTTCTATAACAAGCGATTGGCATTGTTATCTATACAGATACAATCGAAATTATTTTATGTAATGCAATAGAGGGGTTTCAAAACTTAGATAGTAGATTCTTTTCAATTGTGTGTTTCTAGGGAAGTATTTAGGTTTTTATACCCTTGCAGAGGGTATTATAATTTTGGTCAAAAGTGTGCAACGCAGTGAAGGAGACATCTCCGACCATATAAAGTATATATATTCTTGATCAGGATCACCTCCTGAGTTGATATAGCCATGTCCGTCTGTCCGTCTGTCCGTCTGTCTGTCCGTCTGTCCGTCTGTCTGTTTCTACGCAAACTAGTCTCTCAGTTTTAAAGCTATCGAATTGAAACTTTGCACACACCCTTCTTTCCTTTGCACGCAGTATATAAGTCGGAACGGCCGGGATCGGCCGACTATATCCTATAGCTGCCATATAACTGAACGATCGGAAATGCCATAACTTTGGTGTTTTTAAAGTTAGGAAGTTGGGATTTTCTATGGGTTTTACATTTGGCCAATCAATTTGACGTACCAAATTTTATAAGGATCGGCCGACTATATAGTATAGCTGCCATATAACTGAACGATCGGAAATGCCACAACTTTGGTGTTTGTAAAGTTAGGAAGTTGGGATTTTCTATGTGTTTTGTATTTGGCCAATCAATTTGACGTACCAAATTTTATAAGGATCGGCCTACTATATCCTATAGCTGCCATATAACTGATTGATCGGAAATGCCATAACTTTGGTGTTTGTAAAGTTAGGAAGTTGGGATTTTCTATGGGTTTTATTTTTGGCCAATCAATCCGACCTACCAAACTTCATAAGGATCGACCGACTATATCCTATAGCTGCCATATAACTGATTGATCGGAAATGCCATAACTTTGGTGTTTTTAAAGTTACGAAGTTGGGATTTTTTATGAGTATTAAGAATGCATCATATGAATAATTTTGGAAAATATAATTTACAGAGTATTCTGCAAGGGTATATCAACTTCGGCTCCGCCCGAAGTTAGCTTTCCTTTCTTGTTTTATTCTCATCGAGATCAATAGTAGACAGTTTAGAAAGTTAAGAAATAAAATATTAGCCAATGAATGTTCATTGTTGTTGAAATGTGTAAAATGTATTTGAATAGTAATATCGAATCTTCAACTATACTTTAATATCGAGTTTCCAACGTCGGCAATGTTACCTTTTCACTTTGCTGGTCCTTTAGAATGAGATATGTTTTTAATTTCTTGTAATCCTTCCAGCCATTTGTATCCTTTGGCTTGAAATTAACCGATGTGTTGCTGCTGTTGCTGTTTTCATTGCTGCTAGTTGTACTGTTGTTGCTGTCGCCCAACAACATGGTCAAGTTTTGAGCCATTTTGAGCTGGGGAAAATCACTTGTTCACTGAGCACTCAAATACTTTGTATTTCTTTATTGCATAAATGTAGATCATTTTTTCACAGCATTTCAATTGCTCAATTGTTTTCAATTGAGATTGAATGAATCACTTCTTATTAGCCCAGCGGCAGTTGTTGTTGTTGTGTGTTTGGTCTGGCAGATTAATTAGAGATTTCTCGGCGTCTGAGTGAGTGTGTGTGCGGCACCTTAATTACAACACGATTCAAATTAAATTTAATTGAAATTGATATAAACGTTCTTGCTCTCGTTCTGTTTATGTTTGCGGTGTGCAGTTGGGCGTGGATAAAACGCGAACGCGACGACGGATGACGCCCGAGATGATGATGATGAAGTCGATGATAATAATGACGATGATAATGATGCATCCGTATCCGTTCCCGGGGGTGCTGCGAAATTCCGCAAACACACGCGATCACCCGCCGAGGGGACGCGGTCGATTAAGAGGTAACTAATTATGCATTACATGCAACATGCCACGCCTAATGGAAGTGCAGCTCCAACGTTCATTAAACCGTACAGTAGATAATCTTTTGTTTTTATTTCAATCCATGAGATACTTTTGTTTTGAAATTAAGGTTAGTTGTGGAATTCCAACTTAATCGGGTACCATAAGAATCAAAACGATATTCATTTATTTGACACGTTTATTATGTATATGAAATTTTTAAACTTTTTTTGTTTATAATAATTTTTAGACCCAACAATTGTTGATAAACTTTAATGATAAGCGCTTTATATACGTAAATATGTTTTTAATTTCAAAACTTGTATTTCTTAGTACTTGATAAAGTAGTGGTTTAAAAAATTACCAAAATTATAACCCTTTTTTAAAAAATTAACGAAATTTAGAACAATTTTTTCGGTGCATTGAGAGGATGGTAACCTGTTGCTCCGCCAAAATGCAATTGAGCACGGGGCACAAGCCACAAATGTTCCCTGCGATGAGAATAAAAACCGCGTGAATACGAGTACTGGCTTGAACCGCCCCCTCATCACTCAACCTCCTCCTCATCACCATCCCCCTCTCATCTCACCACGAACAATCAATTAAAGCTCGTGCGAAAGGCGTGGCAGTTGATAACCATAACAACAGACAATGGGGGGTGCAAAAACAGTTTTGCACAAGTTGGATAATAAGCTTCGCACTCGAGTGAAAGTAAATGCAAAACATGGGATTGAAAAAGGTTTAGGGAATTTCCTAGAGTTTGCCAACTTTTGATTGAGTTTTGGTTTAAATAAGCTTTCAAGAGTAACTTTTTGCTTAAAAGGAAACTAACAAACTGCAAATAACTATTAAAAACTTAACTTGAACGTTTACATAAAAGCAAGAAGAGCAAAAAAAGGGATTGAAGATTTTTAGAAATTTCACTTAGAATTACATACTTCAAAAATCGTTCAACCTAAAACACTAAATAATTTTTCAATAATGGTGAAAAACCTTCCTCACATTATTGATTTAAATTATAAATGAGAAAAGCGATTGAAAACTTGTGAACACCAAATATTCAAGGCGTTAACACG